CCATATTATTCATAACTATAAGTTCTTATTTAATCAGAGATGAACGCTTTTAAAGTCTATCGCAGGTCGTAAAATTATCCTTATTGATAATTTTTATCTAAATTGTCGTTTTTGGATTGTAGATCATTTTTGGTTTGTTTTACGTAAAGAATTAACTTTTAGTTTTATATGAGGAGGTGTTTATTTTTAACTGTTATGAAATAATGGTTTTACTATCGTTAAGCTCCATACGACAGTTTTTAACTATATACAGTTGTATGCTTCCTACGATTATTTTTTCATATACTTACTGGTAGTGGTATTCCCCAGCACTTTAGGTGCTAAAGTCTATGAAAAAGCTTTTGAAAAGGAGGCTTGCCCTCCTTTTGATATACTGCTCCCGCTCGGCCGCTTCGTTCCCTCGAAATGATGTTCTGGATCCGTCACTGATTGACTGTTAGTCAAGAAAGAAATTGACTAAGCCTTGATCAACCTGAAGAGTCGTGCTTTTATTGAGAGTTATATATTAGCGATCGCTTAGACACGGGACTTTATAAGTAAAGCTTAGAAAACTAGAAAATCAGAACTCGACACGTTGGACGTCGTGGCGTTTGCTGAAGCGGGAAAACGGGGTTTACTTAATTAGGTTTCTTCTTCCGTCAAACTAAATGTCATTTGAAAGTTGCGAGTGAACATTAGAGATCCTAGGATAATGTGTGGACTTATAGATAAGCATGGTGTCTAAAGTGGAAGATGAAACAAAAAATAAGATTAGGAAATTAGAATTATATAGATTGCAAAATTAAACAACGTGGGTGAAAAGTAGAGCAAAATCGAGTTTAATGGTAAATAAATTATAGATTGAAAAACTTTTTATGTGAATTGCAGCTAATATTTTTCGTTTTTATCAACAAAAGTATAAGATTAAGCAGCCTTTGGTGGTCATCTTGAACTACAATTTGTCATACCAATTTTTGATAGATCCTAAAGACAAAATTTGCACAACGTAAGAAACCGGGTTTCGATACCCGCGGTGGGCAGATCACAGATAGCCCATTGTGTAGCTTTGTGCTTAACTTCAAAACAAACAAACAAAATTTGCTGAATATTCTTAATGTCTGATCACAACCGCTGACGTATTAGTAAAGCATTAACTGCATATTGCAATTAAACCTAGATATTCTCTCATTAAACAATTATCTCCCCACGTTATTTGGAGCCTTTAACATTTATGCCTATTTCAATGATCAATAAATCTTACTAAGCTTAAACAGTTGCCTAATTTTTTGTTTAGGACAGATACGGTAATCTCATTGTCATGATATAAAAGACTGTTTAGTTTAGATATTGATTAATTTATTTTTGTGAGTGAATATTCTATTATTGTTTAGTTTTGTTATAATAAGAGTTAAAAGCAGACGATTGTAGGAAGTTTTGTTAATAATTCATTGATGTTGAGACTATCGAACCTCACGTGCATACATTGACGTCGAGAATATAGAAAATCGGGCAGACGATTAAGTGATAACGAAATAAATAGTGTGAGACGAGCAAAAACAGCAGATAGATAATAGCAAAAAAGAATAAAGTTACAGGCCATGGAAAAGTTCGGCGTGAAGTTAACTATCGTTGAAGTGATAGGCCTAACGATTGACATAGGCCTAACGTTTAATATGTTAGAGTAAGACTAACAGGAGATAAAAAGAATTATTCCGTCAAAGCGTGGTTCTAAAGTAATTGAACCAGCCTGAGTGCACTTTTACAAAAGGAACAGAGGATAACAGGCCTAAGTGGACTTTTGACAAGAACTAAAAAGAAGAGAACTACATGTATAGTGTTTATGATATGCCTATAATCTCTATAGTGTGAAGAATTTGTTGTACATACGTTTAACTTGTTCCGAATATATATATATATATATAATATTTTGAATACAAGTGAAGTGCGTGCTGTTTATTTATCGCTAACAAGTCGCTGACACATACTGTAGAAGAATCCCAGGTCCAACAACAACATAGTATATACTTATACTATTAAGAAGTATAAGTAAAAGCCTTTTATTTTGACAATTGGCGAAAAAGAAGATTATATTTTAAATTCTGACACCCATGTAGGCCTAATGATTTTGTTCCTGATAAGCATTTCCACAAAGGATAATTCTGATATTTGATGGTTTTTCGTGAAACACTTAAAAACAATGATGCAGTAAGACATGAAGACACCACTTGTTTATTATAAAATAAAACAATAATTACAACATATATGTTCCATGTACAACACTATATAAGCATAAGTGTATAAAAAACACCATAAATTACACTCAAATGTCCAGCAGCCAAAACTTAAAAAACAAAAACAATTATAATTTGTCAGAGAATCAAACAAAAATGTGGTAACTAAATAGACTGAGGCCTACTACATTACTAGTATAAATTTACTCAATTATATGAACTGTGTATATCTAGGCCTATTCTATTAATGGTTTAAATCTACTTCATTATATAACATGTATATATCTAGGCCTAATACATTACCAGTTTAATTTACTCCATTATATGAACTGTGTAGATATATGGCCTATTTTATTAATGGTTTAAATCTACTTCATTATGTGACCTTTATAGATCTAGGTCTAATACACTACCAGTTTAATTTACTTCATTATATGATAGAACCAGCAGGGATCCATTTATCTGGTCATAAATGATGTCATTAAAGAGGAAATGATTTAGTTTTAACACTCCTCCAAAATTATTAGGTGTTTAGTTGTCCAGTTAGGGTCTTAAGTATGGTCAAAAGCTAGATAGTGTGGAAAGCCTAGATACAAAAGTATATGTATGAAAAAGAAAAAAGTTTTTCAAATACTATACAGCTTCGTCATTTCCGATTAAAATGTTATACTTTATAGTAAATAACAAATTAAAATTGTAAAAGAAATAAGCATTACAAATTGTAAGTAAAAAATAAGGTTTTACAGAATAGGCTTAAGGACAAAAAAAATAAGTTGCTTCCAATATTATCAATAACAATGAGGTACCTGACACATGGTTTAGTTTAGTCAAATGTTTTTGTGTTTCTGAGTTTCATAAGTTAACTGATTTATGTTATAAGTATTATTTTGATCATTGGTCATCATGTTTCAGCTGTACTGATTAGCCTTTCAAACTGTACTGTATAGTAATTATCTCATACAAAATGTAATTACAGTTAAGTTAGCATTATTATTATTATTCAGTTGTTCTCATTAATTGTGTGTGTTTATATATATATATATATGGGGATGTTGCTGGCTTGAGCACGTATGTGTAACACATCAATACTCAAACAGTCATGCAAAACTAAATCAAAAGGAAGGGCTGTGTTAAAAACAGCAAATACAAACCTGTGATAAGTGACATTTAAATGAACAAAAACAAGCTCAAACAAAAATCATATCATAGATGCTGCTCAAATCAAGGGGATCCCCAGGGTACAGGCTATAATGTGGGATAAAAAATGTGCCCTAGGGTTTTGGAGGCGACTGTGGAAGTAAGACCAACATTGCGGTTGGAATACACCATCTATCAGTCTTTACCTCTGTTTGCCAGTCTCACGTGAAGGAATTCAAAAATAAAAATAAAATAATCTAAAGAAATAGAAATTAGAAGAGCGAGATGGGGGGACAGTCAAAAATCTCTGTCAGCTAACATCAGCTTAGCAATACTATAGTAATAAATAATGTAAAAGTTCAGGAATCTATTTCAGAAGACTGATATACAGATGCACAAAAGAGGTAAGCCACCAAGCATAATGAAATAAAGGAACTTCAAACTAATAAACCTGTTTCACTTTTATCAAAACCTGTCTCATTGACCTTGAGTCAGAAATTATACTGTCTTATTTAATCACCTCCATAATTTTTGTAACAATGATGAGTTGATTACTAACGATGTTACAGTATACATGTACATGATCTTATCAATCTCAATTCAACATTTTCTATAATTGTATACATGCTTAATTAACAATCACTTGTACATAAACACTGTTAGTTATTTCCTAATAAGTTAACATATATACAACATGGTTGAAGACAGCTTGCTCCTATAGGCTGAAATGTTTGTTTTAATTGCCCCATTAATAGTGTGTGTGTGTCGATATCTGTAGATGAGATCTGGTTTAGTTGTTTTACTAGTTTAAGAGTTACTTGTCTGCAATACATGACTGCACGTTGTTGATGTTTTGTCGAGGATTTATCAGCAGTGACTAGACTGAAATCAACTGACAGCACTATTTGAGGTTATTAAACACTAATCTGTGTACGAGAGGCTCTGCTTTAATTAGTGCCATGTATCTGAGGTCTAAGTGTGATGTTTTAGGACATGGCAAGATAGAGAACATGTCAACTTGTTAATTTTAAAACTTGTGTGGATGTGTTGAACTGACTTGTAAGCCTAAGAATCTTCCAAGCAGGAGGCCTCTCCAGTTGTGCTGCCACTATGTTGTAGATGAAATGCAACCATTAGAACGAATATAATAAAAAATATAGAATGAAAAATGTAAATACTTGATACTTTATTTGGTTTTTCCATTGTGTATAGAGAAATAAAGCTTTCACATTAACTTTATATATCATGCTGAAATTGTGGAATTTGTATATATATATATATATTGTTTGGGAAATTAATATGGTAATTTTAAAACCACAGTTGTGTTTTAGGTGAGTGTAATTGATTTTATTTTTGGAATAGTGGTGTTAGTTAAATGTAAATTCGATGACGAGGAACACACTTTGAGACTGATAATGGTTGGAGACGGCTTGAATGGGTAATGAAGAAAAACTTTAATATAAGTTTTTCTTCATTACCCATTCAAGCTGTCTCCAACCATTATTAGTTAAATGTAATTAACTTGTTTTTATGCTCTATGAAATGTGACGCAAATATTTTATGAGATTATGAAAGAGCAAAGTGCATGGTCCTTCTCACTGTTTTACACTGATAATACAATAGTCATTAAATTTGATTACTTGTTTCCTTTAGCAGATAAGACCAGTTCAGTAAATTTTAAACCCATCACTTCTGCTCCCTGTATTCGGCGGACTGCCTCACTGGACACTATTTACCTGGCTGGACAGTGGCCACGTGACCTCCACTATCACAGCTACTATGTTCGACATGTGATGGACAGAGCCACCCAGGTACATAACTTAATAACATAATTATTAATCACATTGGTTAATCAAAAAGATAGTAATGATAAATAACAGTGAGGACAAATGTGTTCTTGACAGAATGTAAACTGTTAAAGTTTTTGTAACTAAAACAGCTGTCAGTAAATAAAGTGTCATTGGTCTCTGGAGGTCAGGTTATGGTCAACCATAACATTTTATCTAGGATGTGGTTGAATATTGCCCTTGTGTTTCATTATCAAGTTACAGATTAACTTAAAGAATTGTCTCAAACTCATTATGTCATAATTTATCAGAAGGAAAAAAAATAAGTAATGGTATGGTTGGATTCTGGTTCTTTATTTATCTTGGTGATAGTTGGAAGAGCAGATATTATTCAATAGTTCATCTGTTCTGTTCGTATCTTGCCTTGATGGAAGTGGGCCCCATTACTCATTGCCAGTGTTACTTTTTCTGTGGCTTAGAGATGTGTGAAATGGTTAGATATGAGATTGTAAATTTAATAACTAAGAAGTCAAGACAGGTAGACTAGGCACGGCCAGGTGGTTAGGGTACTCAACTTGCAGGTTAGAATCCCCGTTCCACCAAACATGCCTTATAATGTGACGGTCAATGTCACTTTTTGTTGGTAAAAGAGTAGCCCAAGAGTTGGCAGTGGGTGGTGATGATTAGCTGCCTTCACTCTAGTCTTTTATTGCTAAATAATGGATGGCTAGTGCAGATAGCCCTCATGTAGCTTTGCCCAAAATTCCAACACAAACAAAACAGGTAGACTACTTCAGCTGTAGGTTTGGAGGAAACATGGTTTCTGATAACTTGAATTTGTCTAAAATGTTTTTCTCTCAAAACTGGTGAAATTGTTTGTGACCATTACATGGATTGTTCAAGTAATCTGTGTGTTTTAAGAAAAAATGTTTTATTGAAACAAGAACTGAAAGCTACAAATCTGTTTTTTACTGTCATACATGTATCCACTTTAAATTTTGATTAATTCCATTTAAATGTTTTGAACTTTCAGACAGATGAGTGGGAAGAAACAGAAAAAATTAAGAAAGGACCACAGAAAAAATCTCCGGGAAATAACGGGGATCAATTAGAAATGAAAGTAAGGTTTTGGTTTATTTCCCAAAAACTTTAGTCTATAAAAAAAAGATTGTTCCTCAGTATCTGTTTTGATGTGTAATCATTAAATTGGTCATATAAAATCCTAATTTTCTTTTTCTTTTCACCTATGTTTTTATAATATACCAGACTAGAGGTTCTAGTTGAAAGATTTTAAACTTTGTTTTCGTTAAAAGTTGAAGTAGGTTCAGTAAACTATTAACAAAAAACAAAACTTAATGTTTAATATTTTGTTGACCTATTGTTATATGAAATGAATAAATTATGCATATGACATTAATAGTCCTATTATATAATTCTAAATACTACAGAAAGCTGATTATGTAACTAGTAATACTTTCTTTGTTAAGTAAGTGCTTTTTGTATATGGAATTCTTTTTGTGTGTCAGCCATAATTTATTTTACTAATTGACTATAGAAAAAAATGTATGCTATGATACAGTATTTGTAAGGTTTCACTGAGTCACGAGTTGGTTTATGTTCGTCTTCTGTAAAATGATTTCTAGCTACTTAGCATAAGTATAGTTTAAGATAACAGTTTATATTTACATACTATATTTTTCTCATTTCCAGTATTTTCGCCATAGACTCCAACGGACCAATAAGAGCGGTCATGGCCAGGGAAACTACAGCTCACTTCAGAGGCTCAGTCCTTTTCAAGGGGACCATTCTGCCATATCATTGTCTACTGCTGCCAGCAGCAATAATGGTTCTGTCTGCCTGTCTTTACCGTCCACGGCAACACTACCCCTAAATAATTCACCCTATCAGCACTTGTACAGTATACCTACATATAATGTGTCACATGAAAGGTCTCAAACAGGACCCATTCCTATCCCCCACATTCCAAAGACCCCCATTCCCCGCATTCTTAGCAGTGTTGAAGGCTTAAATCAGGTAAGCAGAAATCTTTTATTGAACTGGCAAAGATTTCTGCTTTCATTAGATTTTGCTGTTTATTAATCTGTATGAATTTCAGAACTTCTTTTTTAAGCTGATTCATCTCTAAGAGTTCTTGAGCCTTCAAAGTTTTCCCAGATTTTGTCCTGATACAGATTGTTCCTCACAAAATATTGTATTCCCTTCATAAACCTCATAATAAGAAGAAAAAGATGTGCTAGCAGTAGAATCTGCAGAGTTCAAAATGCACTAGCAAATTAGAAAGAGTAAGTTAAGATGAAATTTCAGTAGGGCTGTTATACAAGTGTCATTGTGACAAATGAATATTAATCAAATGCATATATTTTTGGAGCCGTATGAATATTGAACAGTAATTGTTATCACCAAAGTTTTTAAGGGTGTTCCCAAACAGCAATTTTTTTTAATAAGTTTAAAATGTATAATGTTACATTGTTAAAGTATACTTTATGCACATTATTTCAGGAGATAGAAAGATTAGTTCTCAAAGGAATCTCAGGAAATGATAGCGTGGATATGGAGATTGAGAGGGTAAGTAAAATTGTGCTATTTTGTTTTTATTCTATCCTTTTTGAGGCTCATGTTGATAGATCAGTGTTTTTTTTTCTAGAGCATAGGTAGAATTTTTGTCAAACCAACCACCAGATAATTTGTTTTTCTCTTGAATTTATTGAAGAGGTCGTTATCTAAATTAACAGTGTTTCTAACCTGGACATTTAATCTGCTCGCGTTTAAGGTGCTTTTCAGGTTGAAAATTTCACTTCTGCCCAATTTTGGACTATATTTTGAGGAAATCTTTAAGTAGAAATCTCACAAAGATTGTTTTTGTATTAAATTTTTTGCAGAGATATATTTTGCAGTTATAAGGGACTGTTCAAAAATTATCATTTTTTTTTTATATATATAATCATTTCCACTAGTAGATTATTTTAATTAACCCGCAGTCATTGGCTGTCCTTTGTGAGTGAAGACGACATCTCCTAGGATGAATGTGTTCTCATGTGATTGAACGGCCCATTTCGAGATTTACATTGTTTGGAACACCTCTGGCAGATAGTGCTCAGAGGAAGACGTTGACTCAAAGAAGGTTTGGCTTCTTTCCTCTTCTGTTGCTTCTGCTTCTTGTTTTCCCGTTGATCAGTTTTCATTGTTTCTGCACATGATGGATTAGACAATGCCAACAGGAACAGTCAGGCGCATCCTCCTCCCATGTGTTGAGGTTGATGGATACTTTTGTGAGGTTAGATATCAGGTTATCCTTTCATCTTTTTACTTGTCCACCCCAAGAACGAGTGACAATTCTTTCGCTATGATTGTTGTCCTTCTTTCAGGCCTTTGACTGTTAGTATCATCCATGAGGGTTCTCACATTCCAAGTTCCAGTAACAGTTTCATGAACCAAGTACTCTGAGTGTTTGTAGAAGTTTGAAGCAAGTTTACAACTACTAATAAAGCTGTCTATTTAGTTGTAACTTTTATATTCAGCATCACTAGTTGTATGTACACTTCTGTAAGTTTTTTTTTTTGAAATAAATCCCCATTATTTTAATAAGTTTAATATATACTTAGTTCTTTAACGAGAAAAATGTAACCTTATAATTCTGTGAACCTAGGATATTATGTGGCCAGATGACTTTCCCCACGTAGTTAAAGCTCAAGCTCTGAATTC